AGAAGTTTATTCTTATGCTATAAGGAAATATTTTTTGCTCTTCTTAAATATTCAGAGAGATGAAAATTTATTACATCTTAGATTTTTCTGAGATAAATAGCATTTCTTAGTAAATCATTCAGTGTTTAGGAACGTTCACTTTGTTTTTCTTTTATCTCTAATTTTTCTTTATTTGTGAACAAATAAGTGTTTATTATATAGATATAATGTATGGGATATATTATATGAGATATATTGTTCTTGACCTCATTTTTTTTTTTTTTTTTTTTAATATTTTGCCATAGGGTGCATGACAGAGAATAAGAGGGAAAATGGAAAACCACCCCCAGGGAGGATGACCATGTCGCAATCCCTTCTTATCCATTTTCCTCTTGGAATTTTAGGCACGAAGGCACACAAGTTTCAAGCCACTGGGTCTGGGACCCAAACTGTTGGATCCAGGACTCAAATTGTGGTCAGCCATGTGGGAGTCCAACAGCTTAATCACTATTGCCACCTACTGGCCCCTTGACATTAGTTTTAAAATGTGTTACTAGTATATCATTTAAAATTTGATGAGAAGGTTAGCTAAAGACTATATACATTGGGACCAGCAGACGGTATAATGGTTACATCGCTGGACTCCCACATAGTTGACTGTGGTTTGAGTCCTGGACTCAGTGGCTTACATCTCATGTTGGACATATGTGCACATCTGCCCAAGATCCTGAGAGGAGAATGGAGGAGAAGGGATTGTGGTGTGGCCATCCCCCCTGTGGGGTGAGTTCTTGCTTTTTGTTCAACAATATTTTATTATTAATATTAATTAACATTAATATTAATAATATAATCATATTAACATATTATATTAACATATTAACATAATATTAATATATATTATATGTATATATAAAATTTCCAGAAAAAGAGCATTATTGTTTGTGTTTTCAGAAATGATAATATTGTTAAAGACAGTCATGCTCAGAATTTCAGCATTATGTGAGTTTTTTTTTAATTTACTAAAACGTCACAGAAAATTTAATTATTTTTATGTTTTCTATAGGAATGATACTCTGATTACATAGTTCCTACAAGCAGTAGTTCTTAATACTTTTTAGATAAGGTCTCTGGTTGTGCATACTCACTTATTGTAAATATTGTATGAAAGTTGAAGAGATTTACTGTGTTCTCCAACCAAAGTAAAAAAAAAAAAACAAAAAAAAAAAAGGAAAGGAAAGCTCGAACACAGTTAAAAGAAATACTGGACTGCTTAGTCACTGAGTTTCTGCACCTTTCTCATCTCTGATTTTTAACAGACTGTCTATGACCACATGTGAATCAGATTCTCCTGTGAAGTTTAACAAGTTACTGTCTTTCTTGGCCTCAGCCCTTCTTCCCTGGGCCTGTGCCATCCCTGTTGTAGTAATGTAATATGTAACTTGGTTTCCAAAGATTTCCTCATTAGGAGGGGTGTGGCTTATTTGTCTTCAGAGTTAGGCTGAATATAGCCAAGTGTAAAGTAATAAATGACAGTTATTTTCACAATTTCTTGTGACAGTTAACTGAAGAAGATGAATCACTGTTCTGATTTTGTACAGCTAGAGTTGAGGTCGAAACAGAGGATAAAGAAATCACATCAAGCAAATCCCACAAGAAAAGTGTGTGACCTTATAATCCAACATATTATGGCCTTCACAGATAATGTCCTCTCATTCTTGAGGCTATTGGCTCCAAGTTGGAATTCAGAAAAGCAGAAAGGAGGTGATTTGGGGAAAGATAAATTGAAATTTGAGACCAGTATTGGGCATAATCTAGTAACAATCCATCTTCCATTTTTTTCACTTTAATAAAAGCATTATGCCAAGGCTTTATTCATCCTCAAAGCATGGAAGGCTGTTAGGACACCATATTAAACAAGTCATTAACCTCCAGAATTTAAAGGTAACTAGGTAGTGTAAAGCTTTTCTGCTGCAATAGTGGTGAAGGGAACAGAACATAAAACTGCTATCAGATATCTGAGGCCTAATTCAAGCTCATTTTTCACAACCTTTATATGTTTAAGGAAACCACTTAACGTCTCTGTTTCTTGGTCTGCCATAGAATTAGGATAATAATATTAGGATAATAATATGTCTTACACTTTATAGGACTATTGGGAGGATAAAATTTGATTTTGTAATACTGATTATACCTTGTAAGTTGTTAAATTTTGTGCAAATGTAGGATAATTGGATCACTTCTTTGCTTACTATTAGCATTATTAATTGGTCCTCTCTTTTCCTTTTCTTTTTTACAAATAATTATTTATTTATTCTGTTATTATTATTTGTTATTATTTTTTAATTTGACCAGAGAAAGAGAGAGAGAGAAAGCCACCAGGTCTAGGACTCAAACTCAAATGCCTCAACAACATGCCACTTGCCAGCCCCAGTTCTGTCTTTTTCTAGTGGCTATCTTTGCACATGTCCATAGTGTATTATTCCTTTTTTACAAGGCTGGATTCCTAGAAACACCTCGATGGTTATATGTCTAGTGATTCCACAGTCATTTGTTTAGCACACTTAAATGCCAGGACTATTGCAGATTGGAGGAAATTTGAAGGTAAACAAGATAATCTTTGGCCTACACTTAAAACAGTTTTATTACCAGATACATGGAAGCTAATGACAGAGTTGTAGGTGTAGTATTGTTGAATATTATAGACTTAGGTTAGTTTAAAAATCTATTGCAGATTGGAGGAAATTTGAAGGTAAACAAGATAATCTTTGGCCTACACTTAAAACAGTTTTATTACCAGATACATGGAAGCTAATGACAGAGTTGTAGGTGTAGTATTGTTGAATATTAGACTTAGGTTGGGTTAAAAATCATCTTACCAGTGATTTTTAAACTCTGTTTTGGAGAAGATACTGAATTCTGTTCTGCTGAAGTCCATTAGGACCTGCTGGGGAGGGATATTATTTGGGGTAGGGTATGGTGTACTGCATCCTAGACCTCCTTCCTGGTTTTTCTTTTCATTTTTTAAATTTACAACAAGGTATGTGCGCATGAGAGAGAGAGAGAGAGGGAGGGAGGGAAGGAGGGAGGGAGGGAGGGAAAAAGCAGCCCCCAAGGCATATGGTCATGCTTCAATCCCTTCTCCTCCATCTCTCCCTTCTTTGGGGATTTTGGTCATGCTCACAGTATGCACCCAGTGTGTTTTCAAGCTACTGGTCCAGGACTTCAGCCATGCCGTAGGCCATGTGGAGTCCAGCTACCCTAAACACCATGCAAACAGCTGTTCCCACCTCTTCTCCTTTCAACCAGAAAAGGTCCACAATTACATTTTATATATTAATGATAAATGTACATTTTTCCTTCAAGTAGCTTTTATGGTTAAAAATATAACTAGATAACTAGTCTTGTTCCCTCATTTTAATGACAAAATTATAGAGTACCACAGAATTGAAATTTAACTAGAACCCTGATTTCCAAACCTCTCTTCTGGACTGTTCAGTTAAATCATGCTGCCTCCATGTGGTTTTGAGAATATTGAAAATCTTTGTACGCTGTTTAAAATAATGAACAATCAAGACTGTGAATCTTACATAAAGGACATTTTATTGATAATATTAACATGAAGATTTGCATGATGTTTAAATGAAAGTGATTTGATATTGTTACTTATTTTATATATAAAATATTTTATTCTTTGAGTACTGAAAATATTCATAATTGAAATACAAGTAAGTTTGTAATTTTCAGTTTATTTGGATTTTATCCTTCAGCCCTTAAACATGTTAAAGACCTCATTCTTAGAGAATAGGATGTGCTTCATTCATTCCTCATATACAGTATATTGTAAGTAAACTGATAAAGAGTTTTATAGAACATAGTTCTTTGAGTCTCTACCTGAAGTCTTATTAAATAAATTTAGCACATAAGTAATTTTTTTTTTTTTTAGAGTATCCTTTTGATGTTGGGAACTTTCCAAAGTTCTGACTTGTTATTTAAATTAAAACCAAGGTGATATCGTATGTTTCATAATGACATCTAATGAATGAACAACTGCATTATATGTGAAACAAATAGAAAACCTGATTTTTATAAATTAGGTTTGCATCTGGTCATATTTATTTGGGACTTAACTTTTTGGCAAGATGGATGAATTAGGATTTTTTTTTCTTTCTTTTCTTTTTATTTTTTTGAGAGTTTTTTTGCTATAGGGCACGTGTGCTCTCCAGACAGAGAGAGACAGAGAGACAGAAAGCGAAAAATCACCCCCCAGAGGGGATGGCCATGCTGCAATCCCTTCTCCTCCCGGGATCTTAGGCATGCATGCACGCGCACCGGTGTGAGTTTTTAGCCACCAGGTCCGGGACGCGAACCATGGTCGACTACTTTGGAGTCCAGCAACATAGCCATTATGCTAACTGCTGGGCCCTCTTTTTTTTAATTTGGTAGAAGGCACCTGCTCTTGCTGGAGACGGTCAAGAGGAGAGAGGGAGAGAAAGGGAAAGTGGGAGAAAAAGTGGAAAACACCTTCCCAGGGGAATCCCCATACCGCTACCCTTCTCCTCCATTTCTCCTTTCAGGCTTTGGGGCACACGTGCACATGTACCTGGCATGTTCCCTAAGGTACTAGGTCCAGGACTGAAACCATGTAGACAGTCACGTGGGATCCAGCGTCTTTCACCACCACACCGCTGGTTGGCCTCACTTAGGTTTTTTTATTACTACACTTAGAAGTCTTTACCATAAATTAATTATACTTCTCTTCTTAGTAACAAATAACAATAAGGCAATAATATTTTTAGAAATTTAATTAATGACCATTAAACAGAATGACTACAGAATCTGTAAATCCAACTATCAGGATATTAAATACTTAGTTTAGCACAACCTACCCTTTATTTCAAGATAACAGTGTTTCTCAACTCCTGGTCATTCTTTTGATAAATTGATTATAAAAAAAGATTAAGTAATTATTAAGTCAAATCAAAGCCAAATCTCACTATATGTCTTTTTAAAATTATTTGCAGGAGAGGGCTGCTCACAATTTATATGGCCAATTTGGTAAGTAAAATTTTTAACCTTTGAGGTTTTTCCATGTGCTTTTAAATTTTTTAAAAACCACATTTCTTTAACAAAAGAGAGAAAGTCACTTTAATTTGAAAATGTTTTCTGTCTCTGTGTTAAAGGGTAGAATTAAATGCTTAAAAGGACTTTGATACCATCTCATTTGTTTCTTTCAGAGGGGACTTAATTTCATTTATTTTAAAAGGAGAAAAGTGATTCACTGAGCTGTGCCCTTATTGAGTCTGTTTTTCTTTGTGATTAGCTCTTCATTTTTGAAAGATTTACCTCTCTTACTTACCCCTTCTTATTCTAAAGAATCATTTAAAGGTGAGTTTCTTTGTTTTTTTTTTTTTTTTTTTTTTAATTGCTAGATAGCATATGTGCTCTCCAGATAGAGTATGGTCATGCCACAATCTCTTCTCCATTTCTCTGTCCTGTCAGATTTGGGGCACTGACATACTTATGCTGGGTGGTTTTTTTAAGCTGCCAGAACTAGGATTTAAACTATGGTTGGTCATGTAAGAACTAGCTCCCTTAACTACTAGGCCACAGGGCCATCCATAAGAATGAATTTTTTTTTTCTTTCAGTGTTTTTCCATAGGGTTTGTGCCCTCACTGAAGAGAGAGACAGACAGAGACAGAAAGAGGGGAAGTGAGAAATTACCCCCTTAGAGGTGAGGACCACGCCACAATCCCTTCTCCTCTCAGAATTTTGGACACACACACATGCCTGGCATGAGTTTCAAGCTACCAGGTCCAGAACTTGAACCATATTTGGCCATGTGGAAGTCCATCACTAACCACCATGTCCTTGATGGCCCTAAGAATGGATTTTTATGAGTATGTATTCTTGGACATTAAAACATTGGTACTATATCCAGACTCTGAGTACATTTAGTATTATAGTTAGCTGGGCTTCCAGATTTCTAAGTTTACAGAAATAAACTTAATCTTATATTCCGATACTATTAACAGTCAATATATAATCTAAATTATCTAACTCTAAGTTATCTAAATTTCATTGCCAAATGTATATTTTAAAAAATATTAACATTTGATACATTTAAGATTGTTTAATGAAAATATACGCAACACTAAGAACTCAAATTAGAAAATATAAATATTATTATTTACCTGAGGATAGGTGGTTCATGAATTCTGTAACGGGGTGTATATTTCAGAGTTATATTTAGCAATTTTATTTAGCTGTTAAATATATTGATCAGTACTTACCATGTTAATATTTTAGAATTTGGTTGACAGTCTAGGTTGACAGTGATTTAAAGATAATCCTTTTTTTTTTTCTTTTTTTGTTCAGTGTAGATTTTGGAATCTGTGGTCAGTAAGATAGAGATAGGTAGGCCTTAGCTTTAATAGAATGTACTGTCTAGGAGAGAAATCACAGTGGACATAATCCATGAAAAGGGAGGATTGAACAAATTAGAATACTGTGGCAACCATAAGAGTGGCACTAAGTTATTCTGAGTAGGAGGGGTTAGGTCAGAGAAAAGTAGTTTTAACCCTTTCTCAAAGCCTCTTAAAGAATCTAATGATGAAGGTAGACATTCTTCACAGGAAACTGTTCATGTCCTGAAAGACACTCATATTTTTCTACATTGCAGCAGGTTCATGTACCACTGATTAAGAAAGCCTAGAGTATGCCATCAGGTAATTTATTTTAAAGTACTATAGCAAACTAATATTCTAAGCTCTTTTTATTGTAACGGTGTTGGAATTTTGGGACATTAGGAGATCAGAGACTGGTTAAAGGATGTTGTTGGTCTTTATTTTTCTTGAAAGAATTCTTATTGGAATGTAAACTGTATGAGATCAGGGAATTTTTCTTTGCTATTAAATGGGAACCTAAAAAGAGTCTAGCATGAAATAGAGATTTAGTCAATACTTGTTGAATTGATATTTATTAATCTTTCTGAGTATAGAAGTCTAGGTTGACAGTGATTTAAAGATAATCCTTTTTTTTTTTTCTTTTTTTGTTCAGTGTAGATTTTGGAATCTGTGGTCAGTTTAGGTTACTTTTTAAGTAACCTCTTTTTTTCTCAATTGTTTTCAAGATTTTCTTTTGAGTATATAGAGTTCACTAGGACTTAGACTTATTTTTATTTAGTTTGATCAGGATTTAGTTTGTTTCTTTAGTCTGAGGATTGGTGGTTAGTTCTGGAGTTAAGTTCTTATTTATTCTTTTTGATTCTTGCTTCTTCCCAGTCTCTATATCCTATTATTCTGTAACTCCTATTTTTAATTTTTTTTTTTCTATTTTGTTTTGCTGTAAGGCACTTATGCTCTAAGAGCACTTCCAGTACCTTAGAGAGAGGGAAAGTGAGAAATCACCCTCAGAGGGAATGGCCGTTCAGCAGTTCTTCTTCCTCTATTCTCTTCTTGGGATTTCGGGCATGCACGCATGCATAGGCTCCTGACATGTTTATCAAGCTGTTGGGTCCAGGACTTGAACCACATAGTTGGCCGTGTGGGATCCTGCCACCTCAACCACCACACCACTGGGAGTCTGTGAAAGTACTTTTACCTGTATGTTAAGCTGTCTTGTTTTCCTCTCCATGTTTTCTTAATTGTCTTTTAAAATTTTATTACTTTTTTTTTTTTTTTTTTGCTGAATTTGGTCATCTGTTCTGGAGTCTTCATGTTAACTCATCTACTTACGTCTTTTTGATGTGCTGTTTAATCTACCCATGAAAAATTCACTTTGGATGATGACATTTTAATTTTGAAAAGGTGATAAATACCTGAAACAACATAAAAATCCAGAAAAATTACATAATATTTTAATTAAATAATCATCTAACATACCTTTATAATGTTTTTCCATTGTTTATTGGTTTCAGACTTTTCATTCATTTCTTTATATGATGATTTCATAATATTTTCAACAGAGAGAATGGAAAGATAATCTTAACTCTTACATTATGTTGACCAAATATGTTTTTAAATTATTTGCATTTGGAATAGTTAAAGCAATGTGACTTAATACACAGACTTATCACCTCTTAAGTACTGTTCCAACAAAGTTGCATACTTTATCTGAGTACCATGACCACAAATTTCAATCTTTGTATATTTTAATAAAAAATGTAACACTAATACTGCCAAAAATATAAAACTAATGCTGCAAGCTTTTACTTTAAGGTGAGGTAAGTAATATTCAGAAGTTTTCATATAAAAGTTTAGATATAATTTGGTATCCTATAAATAATTTTCTTTAATAAAGACATTCATCTATGATTTATTGAAGAATTTATGGCACATAGTACATAGCAGATAGTATTTTAGGCACAATATCACAGTGTATAAAATAGATAAAAATGTAACATACATAGACCTTACATTCCAGGGCGGGAAGACAGATAATAAGCAAACAAGATATGTCACATACTGATAAATTCCATGAAAAAAAAAAAAAAAGATACGTGGGTTAGAGGGTGCCAGGGTGTGAGAGATGTGAAGGATGATTGTTACTTTATGTGGAAGGCCTCCCAACAGTGACATGGCAGAAGAGTGTCAGTGAAATGAAAGAACAAAACATCAGGGAATTAGGGGTAAGAGCTCACAATACAGTAGCAAATAGAAAGCCCTGGAGGAAACATGCTCATCACAGTCATTGGACACTAAGGGGACAGTGTGGCTGAAGTACATAGTAAGGAGGGGGATGAGCGGACAGAGATCAGAGCTGCATAAAGACTCCTCATTTTCATAGACTCTTTTCAAGTCATGAGAAGAACCTACTATAGCTGATCACGGAGTCAAGGACTTTTAGCCAAAAGTGGTTAAGACCATTATCACGTTATGTTCTGATTTCTCTGTCACACTTATTCTTATGGTGTATAGCACTGGAGTAACCACAGGCATTTTGAGATCCAACTTAGAAGTTGAGTCAGAATACATTTGAAGTTGGACTTAGCAAGATATATTTATTATATATAATTATAAATATGTACAAGGATAGTTCAGAAGTTGTGGGTTAATGAAAGTTCAAGTTTATTTTGGTGCAGAAAAAAAATTAAAAATCCATGCATAGGTTTTTCTTAATATGTTTTTTCCATGATGTTTTTTAACATCTCCTAATCTATATGCATTGTAAATTATATATAAAATATCGTTGGGACCAGCAGTTAGCATAATGGCTATGTCGCTGGACTCCCACATAGTCGACCGCGGTTCGAGTCCTGGACCTGGTGGCTTAAACTCACGCCGGGCGCGTGTGCATGCGTGGCCAAGATCCCGAGAGGAGAATGGAGGAGAAGGGATTGCAGCGTGGCCATCCCCCATGGGGGGTGATTTCTTGCTTTCTGTCTCTCTGTCTCTCTGTCTCTCTTTGTCTGTCTGGCGAGCACACACGCCCCAAAGCAAAAACCTCTCTAAAAAAAGAAAGAAAAAATATCGTTGGAATGAAACTTCCCAACATTCAGAAATTTTGTTGTCGATTATAAGCTGATTTCAACTTACTCTAATATGCAGTATAATCGAGTTATAGTACAAAGTTATTTCCTTAGGTTAAATTAATTTCTCTGAAAATGTTTAATGTATTTGTGACACATGTGATGAGAGAGTACAGTCTTTAGAACTTTAAGAAAAGGAGTTAGCTTTGAGCTGGGGGAATCAGAGAAGGTATTATGAGTTCCAGGGACTTTAACCTTGGAGAAAGGATGGGACTTAGAGTCATTCACATTTCAGAGATGTGTCTTTGAAACCTCAGGACAAAATATTTGCCTTTCTTAGGATTGCTAAATTTGGGTCAAAGTTTAAGTAAATAAGAAATAGCAAACATTTATTGAGCATCTACCTTGTATTAGGCACCGTGAGATTGGAGTTACAACACAAACAAGGTATATAGTTCCTGCTTCTAAAGACCCTATACTTTACAGGGAAAAAGAGATTCATAAATCACTGGAAATATTGTCATCTTTTTCTTAGTTTTAATAGTTGTTTCAAAACAGAAGTGCTAGAACTATGTAATTGTATATAAA